TGTGTTCTGTCAGTGCTCATTTTCAAAAGGATTCAATAAACGGACAGGTTTGGTGACTCCAACTCTTTGCCATTACCCAAAAATCCTCAAAGAATGTGGATTTTTCAATCCATATAAACCCTTGGACGAGTCTCTGTCTCCGTGTTGTGCTTGTCTGAGCACAATCTGTTCTTCTTGAAAAACATATGGCCAGACAAGCTATTAGGGAGAGAAATAAATAAATAATATGCTTGCCAATCAACCAGGAGAAGCCTGTACTAAGCTGTTATTTTACACATGACTGCAGCACTTGATGTATTAATATATTACTATTGTTTGCACAGTATTAATATTAAAAATAAACAGGGAACTTTTTTTTTCAAATTCAAAATGCATTTTTTAAATTCCAGCCCCCAAGATCAGTAGCAGACAGTGAGAAAGGGCTGTCCTTCCTTCTCAGAGTAGGAGCTAAGGATTAAGATGGCAGAGCTGCCTTCACAAATATTCGAGGCCCTCTGGGCCTACAACTTCTGTTACTGTCTGGCTGGAAACACCAACATGCATTTTGAGAGTTATAGAGGCATTTAATGCTTTTCATCTTCAAAGCATTTCTTACTCCTTTCAACTCAGGCTGCAAGCATTACATCCCTGTTTTGGAGATGGAAATGTTACCTTGCCCTACACTATCAAAAAATATTCCTCACCTCACCCAGGGCAGACTTAGAGGATTAAACCTTGCCAAAACCAAACCAACCACTCACAAAAGTTCTGATTTATTCTTTTCCTGCCTTCACCTCCCAACTAAAGAATTTCAGTTGTTTCAACCAACAACATACCCTGTAATTTCAGCCAGGCCAGAGAAGCCAGGATCAGGCGAGCCAGGTAACAGCGATGGTGAAACTCCACCCGCAGACAAGGTCATGCCACAACCACCAATTTAGTTATAATTTTAGTAAAAAAAGGCTCTTAACTTTTAATTAGTGCTGAGTGTCAGCTCTGCCCAGGAGAATACATTACAGGGCTGTCACACAAGTACTCATTGACCGAGCTGCAGCCCTTGGCAAGCGATGCCCTGGGATAAAGGAGGATGCAGTTTGCTGAGGAATGACAAGAACACGGAATGGGATTGCACACTGCCTGCCAAGGATGCAGCCTGCTGCCACAAGTGTTCCTGGAATGACAGGGATGCTGTCAACGTGCTCTGGCTGCTGCAAAACAAAGGAACAGTTACAGGTGACTGTGGTACAGCACAACCCACAACCCTTCTCCAGCACCCTCCGTCCCGCAGGAGGGAGAGGGAAGGGAAGAGATTGTGGCGAGATTTGGGGAATCACTTTGGGCAGAAACAAACAGATCACCTCTGCTGCACAGGGCAAAAATCCCTGTAAAGATGTGTTATGTACACACCACTCACACCCCAGGATGTGGAAAGGAAGACACAGAATATTAAGACACAGCAACATCATTAACTGGGGGTTTGGCAGAACTGTCAAACAGGGGGAACAATAATCAGAGCAACAGAGAAAATCAGACAGCTGATGAACTTCCAATATTTAACCACTCCTGGAGAAAGAATACAGAGGCAGACATCCAGAAACCCACACACACTGCAGAGCCCAGCACGTGTTCTCACTAAGGGAATCCCTGGTATGGTGCAAATATCTATATTCTGATTGGAAATTTAAATAAGAAACTCTTAAGCTGCTGTTCAACACATCCAGCAAATGATGCAACTCACGAGTTGTCACCTATATTACATGATCCTCAGCTGCTCTAGGCAGTACCATTCAAGGAATAAATTTATAAATGAAACCAGAGCACTTGCATGGGCGAGGAAACAAAGCACTCCCCAAAGGTAACAGTAAGACTGCCCTCATGCAAGTCTCTGGAAATAGAAAGCAGTGGTATGAGTGCCAAAATCAATTATCACACTGGTGTGCCACCAGAAACCTCTCTCATCCTCAGTCTGCCTGTAGCTACTCTCTTCCAGCTGAACCTCACTCCTCTCAGCAATGCAAAATTATGGGATTTGATGAGCAGCACTCAGTCCTCACTGCTGCTGGAGCCGTGCCCTGAAGCACAGGTAGAAGGTGCCACAGGAAGGAGACACCGCGCAGAGGAGAGGGAGCTCGTTCCCAGCACTGCCAGCACCCCGGCAGAAACCTGATTTATCTCCTACCCCACAGCTTCCACGCTCATTACTCCCTGCCCCTTCTCACAGGCATTCAAGGCTCACCAATTCCATCCTTCTCCTCTTACCTCTTCCACTTGCTCCTCTGGTGTCCGCTCTGCAGACTCCACCTCATCCTGCCTTCCTGCACTTACGGAGGCTCCGTCTACACTTTCCTCTTTTCCCAGACTCAAAACACACCCAACCAACCTCTCACCTTCACTCTGCTGAAGCATCTCCACCTGCTCCTGCACTCATTGGATGCTTCCTCCCCACCTCCAGCTCAGACCGACCCTTCCTGCAAAGCCCTCTGGTGACACCACCTCCTGCCTGTTAGGGGACGTGCAGATGTGGGAGCCACAGCTGGCAAGGACCGGAGTGTGGGGAGAGCACGCAAGGGAAGCATTAAATCCTGCCACTTCCTCCTCTCTGGGTTATGGAGCGAAATAAAACTAATGGCTGGATATCAACCCTTCCTCCCACCAGTCCTGTCACCCTCTAAAGCAGGACGACAGCCTTAGATTTGTATCCAGTTAAAGCATGAAAGTGTTCTCGCTCTCCTTCCAAAATCCCACACCTTTCTCTTCTGCAAACACAACCTGTTTGCATCATCCCAAGCATCCCCACCGTGCTGGCACCAGGTGCTCACCACCACTCACCAACAGCCCTAAACATGCAAAAAAGAGGAATTCTGTGCCAGCTACACCCAGCCCTGCCTGAGCAGGCTTTGGAAATTTCAGCCCTAAAACCAAGTGAGAAGCATGGGCTGCAGTGACACATGTCATAACATTTTTTTATTCTACTGTAGGAGGTCAGCAAAAAAAGCTTCCAAAATCAGGGGAGGTTTGTTCCCACCGGTTTTTAATCTTAAACAGCTGTAACAATGTTCCAAGGGGGAGCAAGGACAGGCTGGGCATTAGCATGATGAGAGTTGAGGCAGTCAAAATATGAAGCATATAAAAATAGAGCTGAGTATGAAAAGGGTTTCAGTTTAACTACCAGTTTCACCACATTAAATTACTTCAGGGCCTTAAATATCCAACTAATAGTAAACAGAATTTTAACATTATTTGCATCTCTGTGCACTGGCATCCAGATTGCTCCTGAGCTCAGATCATCCGTACAATTCTTGGAAAGAAAACCTGGCGCAACCCATGGCTAATTCTTGTAACAATGTATGTTTTTACGAGCTGCTTTTTCAAATACAACACACGTTGAGGTGATCGTGTTATAATTTTTTTTTAACGCCAGACATGGATTTAGCAATGCAATTATACTGCCTTAATTTGCATTAACAGAGACTGCACCAAAGCAAAGGATTATGCTTATGTCTTTTGAGGGGAAATACACACATGCATATGCACGGCAGAAAGGGAAAAAAAAAAGGGACTTCCTTGAATTCAGAACATCAATAATGTACCTTGTTAAGTGAAGCCATTTAAATCCGCGTCTTCTCAGCATCAAGGACAAGAGACAGCTCAGTGTTTGCCCGGACAAAACGAGCCCTAGGAGGCCGCCCAGCACAATGATCGTCCAGAGGTGAGAGAATGCAGCCAGTTTAGAGAAGATAAAAGGCCATTTGGGTAGAGACCCCCGCTGATCCTATGAAAGTGTCTCCTTTTCAATTTGGGAGGCTTTTAAAACTGCATTTGCTACTGACCATACCTTCCCCTGAAAGCCGCCTGGGATCCGATTTCACTTTTCCCCCCTCCAGAGCGGGTCGGCAGCCGCCGGCTGTAGCGCAGGTACCGGCGCTCCCTGCAAGAACACCCCGCAAACAACACACAACTGCCGGCAACGAGAACAGCCTTCCTCCGAACCCAGCATCTGAGCAAACTCCTCCGGCCGCACTCTGGCGCCGGGAACCATCGCTTCCCCCGATCGCCCCGCAGCTCCAGCCCGCGGGATGCTCGCCCGGGACCGGCTCAGCCCCGAGCCCAGGCTCGGAGCCCTCCGCCGCTGCGGGAGGCGGTTTGGGCTGCTCCTATTGTGTAAATAACAAATAAAACAAGAAACTGCCCGTGCCCCGCCGCTACGGCCCCGCTCGCCTTCGGGCGAGAGGCACTGCGGGGGAAACGGCGCCGGAGAGAGCCGGGGCTGAGGGAGCCACGGGGAGAGCCGGGATGAGAGAGCCCCGGGGAGAGCCGGGATGAGGGAGCCACGGGGAGAACCGGGCTGAGGGAGCCCCGGAGAGAACCGGGCTGAGGGAGCCCCGGAGAGAACCGGGCTGAGGGAGCCCCGGGGAGAGCCGGGCTGAGGGAGCCCCAGAGAGAACCGGGATGAGGGAGCCCCGGGGAAAACCGGGGCTGAGGGAGCCCCGGGATGAGGGAGCCCCGGAGAGAACCGGGATGAGGGAGCCCCGGAGAGAACCGGGATGAGGGAGCGGGGCCGAGGCTGAGGGAGCCCCAGAGAGAACCGGGATGAGGGAGCCCCAGAGAGAACGGGGATGAGGGAGCCCCAGAGAGAACCGGGATGAGGGAGCCCCGGGGAGAACCGGGATGAGGGAGCCCCGGGGAGAACCGGGATGAGGAGATCCAAGGCTGAGAGAGCGGGGCCGGGCTGAGGGAGCAGGACCGGGACCGGGGAGAGCCGGCGCTGAGCGGAGCCGGCGCTGAAGGAGCGGGGCCGGGCGAAGATGGGGCTGAGGGGAACGGGGCCGGAGGAAGCCGGGCAGCCCGCGCAGGGGGGAGGGAAAGTTTGCGAAGAAGAAAAGAACCGATGGGAGAAAGAAAGAAAGGGAGGGAGGGAAGAAAGGGCAAGGCAGGAATCGGGAAGAGCGTGCGGAGGAGGGAGGCAGGGAGGGAAGGAAGGAGGGAAAACCAGGCGAGGCGCGGGCCGGGCCGGGCCGTACCTGCATGGTGACGACCCTCAGCTCCTCGGTGGCGAGTTTCCTCATCTGGCTGGCCAGGACTTGCGCCTCGTCCAGGATGGAGAACTCCGCCGCGGCGGCGCCCAGCGCGCCCAGCAGCGCCAGGCACAGGAGGCCGAGCGGCCGCCGGTCCCCGCGGGCAGGGGCCGCGGCGGCGCGGGGCTGCAGCCGCCCGCCGCCCCGCGCCATGCTGGGGCAGCGCCGGCCCCTCAGCGCCGCGGGCCGCCCGCCATGCAGGGACGGCGGCGGGCGCTGCCCCGCGCCCGGCTCCGCGCTCACGGCGCTGGGGAGACGCGGAGAGACGCAAACTGCGGCGCGGAGGAGGAGCGGGAGCGGCGGGCCCGAGCGGAGGCGCCGCGGGCAGGGGGAGGCGTCTGGGGCCGCCGCGCTGCGGGCGGGGGCCGGGCCGGGCCCCCCGCGCCAGCCCCGCCCCGGAGGCCGCCGTGCCCCCGGCCCGGAGC